TTTTAAAATATTTATAAAAATGATCATTAATAAAAAAAATAACTTTCATTATTTTTTGACATTTTTTATAAATATTAAATAACAAAAATATTTTTTAAAAACTAAACAAACAACTGTCTACCATTAAACACGTGAATTAATTTGTAGATATTTATTTTTAACTTAATTATTTCAGTAAATATAATCATATTAAATATTTTAAAAAAGTTTAATTTTCTACAATAGTTGAGTTCAAACATAACTGTTTCTAGTATAGAATATTTGTTATCTAATATAATTTTTTTAATACATACTTAGTTATTAAATAAATTCATTAAAAATTACATAAATTATATACTTTTTTTTTTGCCTTTTATGACCCTTATTTTGATTATTTTATTTCATACTTTTATAATTTTTAATTAATTTTAATAAATAATTAAAAATATATTTAAAAATTATTATAAAATATGTTTCTAACGCTCCTTTAATCACCGATAATCATCGACATAAGAAATTGAACTATAAGTATAATCCCAACATTCGTACCAATTTCATCTGCATATGCATAAAATAAAAATTATTTTTTTTACAATATTTACCAAACGATATATAATAAAAAATTAATAAATAAAATTATAACATCTAATATGATTAATATATTAAATTTTATATTGTTTTATAATTTTTAATAAATTTTATTGCCAATAAATTATGATTACACATCTTTTACTATATGTTTCTGCTAAATATACACTTGTCTTTTAGTTGTTGTTTTAGTTCTCTGGTATAATCTCTACTAAAATATTACAGATTTTTTTTTTATAATGATATAAGAAAAGGTATTTACAAAAGTACTCCAATGATGATGAAGTTAATGTTCAGCATAAAATAATAAATATTATTTAATATTTAAAAGTCAACTCTTTATTTATATTTTTTATTTTTTTTATAAATAAAATATTAAGTTAATAAATTTTATGATTCAATTCTGTCTTAATTTTATATTTATTTAAATAATTAACTTTTTTTTATTAATTATTAATTTTTAATTATTTTATTTTGACATGACAAAAAGAGGTGTTGATTTTAAGATTAGGTCGAAAGAATATGAGTATTTTTTGACCTATTGTAAAGCCGAATGGATATTTAATTTCTTTTTTCATCGATGATGACATAGTTATATTATCCAGCACACTGCTTATTAAAAAAATCAAGATCACATACTTGTCCACATTGATGAATCTGCATGCTCTTGGGTTTCTCCATTGTAATCGAAGATTCTTGCAAATTGCAATAATGGGCATCATACAAAATTGGTTTGATAGAGAAAGATTAAACATAATATTTATATCATTATTATATATTTATTATATAAGTTGCTTTCCATCAGACCACTAATGTCATTCCTCAGACAACGGCATGCACGAGAGGTCACTGTTACGCATCACAATCGGAGGCTGCATTATGCTTCTACAGAAAACATCATCCACACTCAATCTCTATTTTTATTCAATTTTCTCAACAACATTTTTCTACTTTCTTTTCAAGTTCTTTTTGAGGAAAAATTAAAAAATTATAATAATTACTCTTAATTTAAAAGTTTTTTTTTAAATAAAAGAATGAGAATTTATAAATTTTTCAAAATTAATCTCATATTTTTTATTTCTTTCAATTTAGAAAGTTTTATATTAATCATTTTCCCTTCATTCCACTGTTGTCTCTTGTCATTCGAATAACATTTATGTTAAAAATGAATACAACATTTTTATATATTATGATAATAAAATTAATAAACAACTATTACTCTTAGTTTGGATTAAATTAAATTAATTATCATCTGTATAATAACTACACTTATAATTGAAAAGTATTTTACTTTATTTGTCTCATTAATCCAAATAAAATAATATATGGCAGCCCTGTCCATGATCACTTGTCTCATCTCATTGATTAAAGGTTATTTTTTTTTATCAGTTTAAGTTATAAAAAGTATATATTTAATGTTTTAAGAATGAATTATGTTTATATTTCAAATAATCTTAGTTTAGCTTAATATATTCTATTATTAATATTTTTAAATATTTTTTAAAATAATAATATTTTAAGCATAATAAGTAATATTATATTAATATCAGTATTATTTATTAAAATATATCGTAAGATATATATATTTTTTTATTTTTAAAAATTTATAATTTTAAATGATAGACCCAGGACGAGTCGTTGTCCCAATTTGATATTTTTATTCTTCCAAATTTTTTTTTTGTTTAAAATAATTTTGTATTAATAATAAAATTTTAAGATTTAATATATTATGTATATCATGATATTGTATTTATATTAATATTATTCATTTTGAAATGTATATCATAAAATATATTCCAATTTTAATTTTATATTTCATTCTTTTAATAATTTAACTATATATAATATTAAAATCTATGTATATACATATTAATTATTGGATTTTGATCAAATTGAATTTAAAGATAAATAAAATTATAAAAATATTGAACCAAATAAAAAAAAATCTAAACCAAACTATTAGTTTTTACTACTATATCATACACTCTTAAAGATTGGATTACATATTATTATGAATAAGAAAAATTATTGAAGTAATTTAGAGCTATTAGTTTTTACTACTCATTCTACATTATGTATCAATTTTTTTATAATTATGAAAAAAATTATACATGTTCACTATACAAAGTGACTATGATTAAATTTTTTTTTATAAATAAGCAATAAAATATGAGAAGAATATTAAAATATTTAATTAAGATAATTTTAATTATACCTTATAAATTAAGAAGATATTTTATGTCCTTTTACATGTGAAATAAAATATTACTATTAATTTATATTAATTAAATAGAATAGAGAGTAAAAATTAATAATCTATTAAAAAACATAAATATTTTTAGTTTTTAAAAAAAATTAAAATAATAAGAACTGTCAATATAAAAAGAATATAAAATACTCTTTCATATTTTTTAGTATTGTGATAAATACTTTTAATTAATCGGTTTAATATGAATTAAATTTGAATTTAAATAATTATAAATTTACATTTATTTTAATACTAGTAATTTTTATGTTAAATAGAAGCTATTTTTGCAGATTTGTTTTTACATATAGTTAATTTTGCTTTTACATGTGAATTATTTGACTGCAAATGGGGTGCATAGGAGTGGTCACCGTGCAGGCGCATGCGTTGGCTACACTATTTGTCCACTTGGAAGGGTATTTTGATAATTTAACACTGAAGCCAGTCAAAGACTATTTGCAACCCGCGCTGTCCATAAAAAATTTAAGAAATATTATAGTTAAAAATTAGTAAAAAGTTAAATATTATTATTATTATTATAGTAAATTTTAATATAATAATAACATTATTATTTAGAAACTCAAGTTTTTTTCTTAACTTTAAAAGTTTAAAATCTAACAATTACTAAATATATAAATGTGTATATGCTTTTTAATACTTTTCAATACAATATATTATAATTAAAATATAAATTAATAGTTACACTTTTGGCCATTCATTTCATTAATTTATTTTTCACATATGAATTTTAGTTTTAAAATTAACAACTTTACCTTCTCTCTCTTGTTTACTCTTAGTGATTTAAGTGAAATATCAAAGAAAAAAAATCCATAAAGCCATATTTACGCTACAAAATTGTGACACATTTTGGTGATAAGAAAATGTGATGGAAATTCCATATAATATATTTTTATCTAATTTTTTAATTTCAGAATGCAAAAAATAATTTTTTTGGAAATTTATTTATAAAAATAATTTATAAATTACTATTTTAAAGTTTTTAAAAAATTATAAATTACTTTTAAAAATGAATTGTAATAATAATAAAAAAATACTAATAGAAAAATGGGAAAAAAAAAAGAAATATCCATCAGAATCCACTCAGGGTTCAGACAGGGATATTCGAAAGAGAAAAGAATGACACGCGCGAGAGAGGCGAGTGAAGTCACACGGCATTGAAGTAAAGGAAAACGGCTTGACGTGAAGAAAGAGAGTGTAGCTTAAAGAACCAACAACGTGGGTCCCACTCTCATTCCCTCTCTTACAAAGCAACACTTACACCCAATACTTATAAAATAAAGGATCATTTATGTTTTTTCTTTAAAATATTTCATTTTTTCTTTTATATAACAATTTCATTTATATTTACTTTTTCTATATTCCATGTAAAATTTATTGTTCATTTATTTATTATTTTTTAATTTATTGAAATATCATAATTTTTATTTAATTTTATCAACTTTTGTAATTTTTTATTTAATTTAATTTATCTTCTCTGGGAATCACACATATACTTAATAAACAAAACAATTCCTACTAAAAAAATTATGCAAGAATGAATGTTCTGTTTAATTTATATATATAATTTAATAATTTAATATTAATTTTATTAACATTAATTTACTTAACTTTAAAATCTAGAAATTTAAAATTTCGATTATATTAGTTTTTTCACGATTATATTATTTGATGAAAATTAAAGTTTGTCGAGGTGAAAAAAAAAATTCTTTATCAATGATATTAGAAAGTGTGAATATATAAATTTCAGTAATTAAAAAATAAATCATATGCAATGTATTTTAATGATTAATAATATAAACAATTTTATGTTAATAATACACTAAAATTAAACTCTAAATTTATGTTAAAAATGTTATAAAAATAGACACCAAAAAATAAATTTAGAAAAAAAAAATGAAATACTATAATTTAAACTACCACATTTTAAACATGTATTTAATAGTATGTAACAAAATGTATTATATAATAAAATTGTATAAAAAATCATAAAATATTATAAAATTTAATTTATTATAGGATGAAGTATTAAAATTTTAATAAAAATATTATTTTATTATTATTTTTATTATATCTTAACAGATACGTTAAAAAAATTATTTAACCAAAGATTAAAAAAATACAAAAGGTAGTAACCATAGCTATCACCACCAACAGCAACAGCAACAGCAACAGCATCAAGAAACTCGCTTCTAGTGAGAGAAAATCCTCACTACGCTCACTCTCCTTCCATTCTTCAAGTTTTAGAGAGAGAGAGAGAGAGTTGGTGTGTGCTTTGTTGTGTTGGAAGGTTTTGATGTACTGAAACTCAAACCCCATTCTATTATTGCATCCTTTTCTTCATTTCATTTCAATGCTCGGTTTGTATTCTGTTCCTTTTTTTCTTTCAAAATTTTTAGAGCGTAGATCCCTCTTTGATTTCAGCAAATTGGGTTATGTGGGTATTCTAATTTTTCAAGCAATGCAAATAAAAGGGAATGTTGGGTCTTTTTTTTTAATGTATATTTTTCTAAGACTTGGTTTTGGTGGATTCCGGTTTCTATGAATAAATACTATTTTTGTTTTTGGTTGTTAAGTTGATTATGATTGCAAATGAAGTTTTAGTGTTTGGGTTCTTAAAATGACCATGTAGTTTCCTGATCTGCTAAGCTTTCTATGATGCTTTTTTTTTTTTTTTTGGTTCAGGGTTTGGATTTTTGAGGCCTTCTGAGTAGTGGGTCAGTGAGGTTTTGAAGGTTCAATGACATTGCACTATATTTCATCATTTTTGCACTTAGGAGGTTTCTTTTTTTGTTTTTTTTTGTTTTTTTAATAAATTCTCAAATATGAATAATTTAGGTTCCTTGTATAATCAGGTGTGTGTCTGTAATGAGGCTCTTATCTCTGGACAATAACTATTGCCCTTCTATATATAACACTGAAGAAAAGCAAAGTAAAGTAGGATTACATGGTTCTTTCTTTGTTTCATTCCATGTTTTTCTTCTGTTGGGTAGTTTTGGACTTAACAATTTCTGTCATGTTCATCCTTTTGGTATATTGGTGAATGGTACTGTATTGAAATCAAAGTTAAAATAAATGAAGCTAATGTTAACGAACTTATGGTTCAATTTTCAGGGTCTTGTTAACTTGAGGTTTTTATGTGATGATATGTGATATTGGGACATGGAGAGGGTTGTGGAGCCGAAGGTACTTCCCCGGAACTTGCCTGTCCTGGTTGAGGTATCGAATGCACACACGGCTGCAGCAAGAGAGGCTAGTCAGAGACTGAATCGTCAGGAGCTTTCAAGTGTTGGTGGGATTTCAGCAAGAGAAGTGAATCAATTGTCCAAAACAAGTGATGTGCCTATGACACGTCTGGCCTCCATCAGAGAAGTGGCTCAGTTAACGAATGCAAGGATTTTTTTGGTAAGAGAAGATATGGGATTCGATGCTCGATCCTCTGAAGAATCCCTCACCTTTGAGCCTACTACAACATGGAAAGGAAAGGCCTCTTTATCAGAAGAAGAATTTTTACTGGATGTTGAGACATTGAAGGGAAGTAGTGATTCTCTTGAGGATGTTGGTCCAAGTTTATTTGCTGGTGCTAGTCATCCTCCCGAACCTGTTGATACAGATCTTATGAGAACAGTTTATGTACCAATAGGTCAAAACAAATCTGAGGCTGGATGCTTAATTAAGAACTTGTCCATGAATGGCCCTTTCCTGGAAGATCTCTCAATTCGTGTTCCTGGGAAGAAGCCAAGTCCAGCTGTTTTCTCGCGTGGAGAAAGTCTGGTCGAGGAGCTAAATGACATAGGGAACTTATCCTCGCCGATTTTGGGTCCTCGAGCATCACAAAATACTGAGAACTCTCTCCTTCCTCCAGATTCTGATGACAAAGAATGTGTTTGGGATGCTTCTTTACCTCCTAGTGGCAATGTTAGTCCACTCAGTAGTATTGATAGTACCGGTGTTGTCACGGCAATGAGCGTTGTTAATAGTTGTGCTAGTACATATCGGAGTGATGCAATGACTAGTGATGGCATGCTTAGTTTAGACAGGAACTGTGATAGTACTAAAGGAAGTGTAAGGGGCGATTCACTAGAGAGTGCAAAAACTAGTGCTAGTCGGGCAAGTGATAGCAGTGGTCTCAGCGATGACAGCAACTGGAGCAACATTACTGGTGGTGCCAATAAGCCCCACAAAGGAAATGATCCTAGGTGGAAGGCTATCCTTGCTATCCGATTACGGGATGGGATTTTGGGCATGAGTCATTTTAGGTTACTCAAACGACTTGGATGTGGTGATATTGGAAGTGTATATCTCTCAGAGTTAAGTGGAACTCGGTGTAATTTTGCAATGAAAGTTATGGATAAGGCATCTCTAGCAAGCAGAAAGAAGCTGACCAGAGCACAGACAGAGAGGGAGATATTGCAGTTGCTGGACCATCCATTTCTGCCAACTTTGTATTCACATTTTGAGACTGATCGATTCTCATGTTTGGTAATGGAATATTGTCCTGGGGGTGATCTGCACACTTTAAGGCAGCGGCAACCTGGGAAACATTTCTCAGAATATGCTGCACGGTATACTCTATATTCCTAGTTGCATTCCTTTACCTAAGCTCTTTGTTAATTGCTTTCCATCTGAAGATCCACTTATTGCTATGTATGAATTCAAATGTCAGTGAAGTAATTACCTTTATCTTTTCATGAAGCTTTATCTATACCAGAGAAATGATAATGTTTTACCCCCTTTTCCTTAATATTTTACGTATGGAGTTTTTTTTGAGAAAAATGATTTCTTAACTTCAAAAGAAAGAGGGAGTTAAGGATCTATATGTAATCTTCTTTTTACTCCATTCTTTTTTTTTTTCTCTTAATATATGATATACTAAAAAGAGATGCTGAAATTTTACTGTTATGAACTATTTTTTCTTATTTGTTAAGAACTATTGGAACATTGCTTTTTATTTCTTGTGTCCTTTATGTCTTGCATTTGTTGGGATACCACTATAATTTGGCTTATGCAATTCTGTTTGTGCACTATTCTTATATTCTTACACAGATCGATGTGTCTTCTTGCTTTAGAACTAAATATAAATATATAATATTGAGGTGGTGAGCCCTACAAATTTTGGTTCCCATATAAGAAAATTTTGGCAGATTTCAAAACATTCCCTGTACTATTTACATAATTGCTTAAATATGTGGATGATGGTATGTTAATTTATAAAGGCACAACTTTAAGATGTTTTTGGCTTCTATAAATATGAGATACAAAACTGGTGCATGATCATCTTGCTCTCTGTAGCAGGCCTTTGCACTTGAATATATTATTATATTATTATTTCGTCACAAACTATCATAATGATTTGCTTTGTAATTTTCTTTACGTATAGCTTTTATGCTGCGGAGGTCCTGCTTGCTCTTGAATATCTTCACATGCTTGGAGTAGTGTATAGAGACCTTAAACCTGAAAATGTGTTGGTCCGAGATGATGGTCACATAATGCTATCAGATTTTGATCTTTCCCTCAGATGTGCTGTTTCACCTACTCTTATTAGAACTTCCTATGATGGTGACCCTTCAAAACGTGCTGGTGGTGCATTCTGTGTACAGCCTGCATGTATTGAGCCAACATCAGCTTGCATCCAACCTGCTTGTTTTATTCCTCGGTTATTTCCTCAGAAAAACAAGAAGTCACGGAAGCCAAGAGCTGAACCTGGGTTGCCTTCCAGCACACTTCCGGAGCTCGTTGCTGAGCCTACTCAAGCTCGATCCATGTCCTTTGTTGGCACTCATGAGTACCTTGCCCCTGAAATTATCAAAGGAGAAGGTCATGGCAGTGCAGTCGATTGGTGGACATTTGGAATTTTCTTGCATGAGCTATTATATGGTAAGACCCCCTTCAAAGGGTCTGGAAACCGTGCTACACTGTTCAATGTAGTAGGTCAGCAGCTCAGGTTTCCTGAATCACCTGCGACCAGCTATGCCAGCAGGGATCTGATCCGTGGCTTGTTAGTGAAGGAGCCACAGCATCGTCTTGGGGTTAAAAGGGGTGCAACTGAGATCAAACAACACCCCTTCTTTGAAGGTGTGAACTGGGCATTGATAAGGTGCAGTACACCGCCAGAAGTGCCAAGACCGGTGGAAAGTGAACTTCCTGGGAAGGTTGGACTGGTTGATACTGTTCCAGTTGGTAACACTAGTAAGAGGATAGTAGGTACTGACATGAAGTCTGGGGGTAAATATCTGGACTTTGAGTTCTTTTAGTTTGGATTCCTCAATCTGTTTTTTTTTTTAGTGTATTTGCCATTATCAGTTATTTTCATGGGTGCTGCGCGGCATTACCATGTCATTTCAGCTTACCTACCTTTTAGTAAAAATCCATTTCAGTTGGAAATATGATACCTCAATTTAGGTTAGGTTCTCCTTCTCTGATCCCTTAATTCCTATGGATAATCCTCATGATGTAGTGTTTCTATACAGAATTTAAATACTTCTCATGAAAATCATAATCTTTTTACATTTTTGGGCAAGATTTCTGAGGTATTTTTGTGTGCTATTCATTCTCTCTGGTTATTATGGGAGTTAAACATAGAATGCTCATAGAACAATGATAATGATCCACCACAATTGGTTTTGGATGTCTGTCTTGAAATCAAGAGGTTATTGGTTGCATCTCCTTCTCAGCTGAATCGTATAAATTTAACATTTTTAGAATTAGTGCTTTAAGTAAGATATATTAATCTTATAAAAAATAATGAATAAAATAAAAGAAACAAGGAAATAGTCTAAATGGAGATTATGGCTTTCGAGAAGTCTGAAATCTGGTGAGTTAAATGGAATTGAAAGTCCTGGGTTCATTCATTTTGTTTATTTGTGAAAGCCTGTATCGTGCTTTGCAAGATAGATTTTTCAGTGGAATCGTGTGGGTAAAAGATGGAAACCAACACGAATTATGGCAGTTCTTATAGTTATATTAGTACAAGATATTTTGCACATTTTGTGAAATTTGTTTAACTAATGTATCAAGCCTAAATTTGTTTTTGTGCACTTCCCCCTTCACATGTATGTTCCATTTTGTGGGAAAAAAACCTTGAATATAAAGTGGCCTTTTTCTAGTTTATTTTACTTCCATTGTAGCCTTCTAATTTTCTCATTTGCAAAACTTAGCATGCACATGATAAAAGTATGAAATCATGGAATAGGTGTTAAGGAAAGAGGGTTTTGAGCAATTGACAAAAGGAAAAATGAGGACCACAATCCGCAGAACAGGCTTTCCATTTTAATGATATAATCACTACTTTTCATGGTTTTTATTTGGTCCCCATCTCATCTACTACTACCTTTGCTCTGCATGTGTAGTAGATTCTTTGCGTGGGGAAGAAAAATGACTTATCAATATAATGTAGTCTTTATAGCCTTGTCACAATTTACTCATCTCCCATTATTTCTGTCTGTAGTCCTTTCATGAAAGCATAGACGTTTCTCTAAGCTTGCAAAATAACTAGTTGATGACAATGACATACCATATCAAACCTGGAGTCAAGGGTGTGTGTTCGAATCGAGGAGTGGGAGAAAAGATTAAAAAAATAGAGATCATCTTTCACTTTTAAATTGAGAAAATTATAAATTTTATTTTATAAAGATGAAACAAAAATGAAAATGGAGAAGTTGACAAACTATATGATAACTCATGTATTTCCCCCCTTCAAATTCAAATGCTACCCACAAAACTAAGAAAAATAAATAAAACATAATTCTAACTAATTCAATTTAACTAATGATGAGTGATCTGCATTCATGCATGAAGATATATTATTGTCAAAAGCTAATTAGATAACCTAATTAGCTTGCTTATCCTTAGTAGGCAATGTCGTTGGGCCTACTTTGTCATATAATTGGGATATATGACTGGATCTTAATTCATCATTTGAACTTAATTTAGTTCACTGTGATGTTTGTCTTAAAAAGTCCCTATTCTATCGGTACTTGCTTTGCTTGCTTATTTTAGCAAAACAGTATGGTGGTTAACCCATTGGAGAATGAAATCCAAATCCAAAGGAGTAAAAGCTTTCGATAATATTTCGGTTTTTCCTTTTTGCACCACCCGTCCAGAAATTAAAATTATTTTTTGCAAGTGACTTTCAGAAATCAATTTTCAGAAGTAATTAATAGTTTTCAAAATTTTATTTTAAAAAATTATATAAAAAGGGTAGTGTAGTTGAAAAAAACCAGGGTGCAAAAAGAGATTTACAAATTTTTTTGGGTATTGATGTTAATAATTCGAGGTCCATTAATGGCTCCAAAGCCTTTTGACAAAAACTTGTACACTCTACAAGCCCAACCTAATATGTCATAGAAACTATACTGAATAATCCCTAATGTAAAATAAACTTGGACACTGTGGACTAAAAGGAAATTCAACAAATCCCACAAACCCATATAAGTTAATATTATTACCTCATTTAATAAATTTATGTAAAATTATTAATAATAGAAGAATAAGGGTAAGTTATAATGTCACCATAAATCGGTTACTTCGCAATTCGCATGTATAAGCTTGGATGTGTTTTTTAAATTTGTTACTAGGCACTCGTATTTTTAGAATATCTTAACAAGAGTGTATTTTAAAAAATCTAAAGTTATACCTTATTAACATATTTCATTTAAAGATAAGTATATTTTAACAAGTTCAAACATATAAACTAAATTAATACAATATTATGAATATTTATATAGTTGAAACTCTTAGTTTTGAAATGAATTTTAGTATAAAATTGTCTAATAAAACTTATTTATTAAGAATAACGATGATTTTGACTTATATCTCTGCAAATCAATCTCTTTTAATATATCCTGTATTTGAGATTCCTGTAAAACTAATACCAAAAAGCATTCAGGATTTTATGAAGCAAAAACTCTACTTTAGTTCCAGAACAATTTATATCAAGATAAAATAACGCCCAAAAAGCACAATGCGTAAGTTTATTCATATACCGAAATTTGCCATCCCCTGATACATTAATTCAAGAAATCCGCCTGTACAAATAAGAGACAATCCCCTTTTCCATAACTTAAAATACAGAAGCAAACCACAAAATTCTTCATATTTACATTTCAAAATTAACTAATAGTATGAGCAATAAGAGCTTGCGCCAAAAAAAGCCAGCCCTTATGCTGAACTTAGGTCCCAATAAATCAGAACAAGTAAATGGCCTACTTGATGGCATATGAACGGCTACAAACTGACTCAAGAGCCTCAGTGAATAATGAAGAAAAACTGGTCAATGCCTGAAACACTCCAGGCAAACCTGTCTGTAAATTGTTGAGGGTCATAGCTCTTGTCACCTCAACAGCCTTTGAATGCCTCACCATTTCATCTTCAACACGCCTTTGGCAGGAAGCTAGTTCCAATTTTTTCTCGGCAAGAGGGTCTCTTGCATCCAAGCCTTGTCCATTGTCAGGCACAGATTCAGGAGGGGTAATGCCTACCATAGAATATGAGTTGTAGAACTTCCTTTCTATGTTTCTCAGAGATGAAGATTTTTTCTCGAGTTCCTTGGAAGCAGTCTCAGTTCTCTTTTTGATCTTGAGCTCTTCAGTTTGCTTGACTGATATTACATGGACAACATTGATGAAGCTTTTGATGGCTTCAGAAGCAACTGTGTCTGGGACACGGTCAAGAGCAAGTTTCCATTCATCAAAAAAGGAAAACACATTAGATGGTTCAGTACTGCTGTTGTTGTTGATGATGTTGTCATTGTCGACTGGAATAAGGTTCACCTTGAACCAGCCATGTAGAGACAGGATAAAGTCACGTTGAAATTTTATGAGGCGGCAGAAACTGGAGTGCCAAGCTGACACAGCTGATTCAAGATCTCTAGTTGCCTGCTTGTGGAATTCAGATGTTGAGTGACCTTTGGATGATTGGTTCACAAGGCCACGGACTTGCTGCACAATGTTGCTTTGAATTTCGTGGTATTGGTGCATTGATTTCCACATGTACATGATTCTACATTAGTATGTCAATCATGAAAACAATCTGTGAGCTGACAACCCCAGTTTTAATATTCGGACTAAAATTATTTTGTAAATAATAGTTTTACGTATATGCTGTGTAGAGCATCCTTTATATGTTTTACAACACTTTAGCTGAGTTCTCTGCAATCTCTGATTTATTATGGAAGATGAAAACATTTTTAAATAAAAATATATTAGGATGTTTTATTTGCGTTGAACATAGGTAAAGATGAGCAGGATATAATATTACAGTCACAACAGCCTATAAGAATAGCTACACAGCTCGGTTACCAAGTTTTTACTGAAATTTGAATTGTAACTACAGTCACAATGGCATCCAAGAGTTAGGAGATTTTGGCTGGAGCAATAGTGGGGCAAGGTGTGATTACAAGTGCTAGGAAGTAGTTGGACTTGGATACAGTTGATGAAGCTAGTGGCGTACCAAGGTAATTGTAGTACTATATCTTGTTATTGTTTATCAATTAAAATTAAAGTTTTATTTTAATAAAAAGAATTTATTTAATGTTATTATAAATTACTAAGATAAAATTCTAATCATAATTGGAGAACAGCACTATACCTAAGTTTTTTCGTATACCTAGATTATCCTTGATCCAAACTAGTGTGTTTTATAAGAGATGAGTTGTGTATCTGACTCCTCACAAAGAATAATTGAAACCCAATACTATTTAAAAATAGAAGGAGAAGAAATAAGAATCTGGTTCACAACTGAATTAAAGTTCTTTCAGAGAGGTCGTATAGGGCAGAATTCCTCTCTTTCCACCATTTAGATTATTCTTGAACACAGAATTAGGAGTAAGAATCCTATCATAGTTCGAAGTAATGAAAACACAGTAAGCAGTACATGATTTAAAGTGTTTTTGATCATGAAGTCTCAAATTTATTGTTTAATTCGCAATGTGACACATAACAGATAAGACAAACACTAGGTCTAAATTGACAAAAGACTCCTTATGTATTCTTCTTTTATAATTGAAAATTTGGGGGCCTAATGAAGTTATTAAAGTTCATTCATTATAAATAATTACGCCTTAGTTGCCTTGGTTGAAGGTAAATCACATTAGCTCCTAGTCCTTGTTGATTAATGGTCTTACCTTAAAAGTGTAATTATTTTGAAAGGGAGAGTGTTTAACTGTCGTCTCATACTTCGAGCAAATAAAAAGGACAAAATTTAATCATCATAAGTATTTTAAGTATTATTTTTTTAAATTTACAATTTATCTTAAATAATCAATGTTGATTTTTAATGTTGAAATTGAATAGGTGAAAAAAATTTAAATTTTATTTTGAAAAAGCACTTATTTTTTTTTTTTTCTCTTTAACCAAATAAAAAAAATACATTGCTATCCATGTTTTTATTTATTATCTTTCTTCTCATGTAAACATAATATTACTGTATAAATTACTAAGATGAAATTCTAATTTTGATTAAAATAAAGGATTAAAAGCAACTAACGTATTTCACTTAAGTTTTCTCCAAATGAAAATATTAGCATAATTGCAAAATGAAGAGACATACCCATGACAAAGGTCAACAAGCTGAGGAACAAGATCGGAGTCCCTAAGGCCATTAATGGCAGATGAGGTAGTAGACACAGCTTGAGATGTGACAAGAATTAGTGACTGTAACTTTGTTATGGAAGCCTTGGTTTTGTCTAGCTTTGCTTCATCACCCCCTTTGTATTCCTGACTCTGCAGAGCTGCCAATTTCTTTTCATGCTCAATCTTCACACCTTCTCTAGCCTAAATATGCAAGGGAAAATTTGTAGCATGCATCAGCACTCGCGGTTTCAAAGCTGCATGATTATAGCTAAAAGTAAATGCAACATAACCAGTTAACCACCTGACTTCAGTTTGGTCAAAAGAGAGGCTAAGCTGGACATACATTAATGAAAATTCCAAACATCCATAATTCACATTCTATATATTATCCTTTCTCTCCATCCTTGGCAAGCAATTTATATATAATTCAAGTATACAACAGAAAATCGTTGCCCTTCATTCATATCCTATCAGCAGAGTGGACAATCAATAATTCCTCACAACTGAATGTGAACACATACAGGACAAAATTTGGAGACAGTGGCACAAGCAATTAAATGTGAATTTAATCAAATGTACTAATGATATAAATATTTTTTATACTGTCATCTGATTGATATATCAATCTTAATTGTATGTTTAATTTATTGAAAAATTATTATTGTATGTTTTAATTAATTGACAGCATCAAAATTAAACTCATTAAATATTCCAATCCAAGCAAGTGAAGAAACAAAAACATGTTTCTTACAAAACAGTGGTGATAGCTGTTAGCTAACCACTTAGGGTACCTTTGTTTTTTTTCTTCCTCATTTTCAATCAATATATTTCATTGATAAATATATATATATAATTTTATTTACTATTTTTATTATTACATTTTCAAATTTTTTAAAATACAAAACAAAATAAAAATAAATGATTTTTATAATTATTAATCAAAATTCATAACTGACTTTGTTTTCCATTAAAAGAAAAACTAAAACCCTTCTGTTTATCATTTTCGGACTTTCCTTACTGAAGATATCAGTGTGTCTCCCTACTCCACTAGGCACAGCAAATGGCAAAAAGAGAGAGGTATTTTAGTCATTTTACAGACACGGTAAACAATGCACAATTAGTCAAATACACCGAAAGTGGCTTGTCTGAATCGAAATGCATTAATTAATTATCCAAGAAAGGTCCCACTACACAGCTTATGAGAGAGTATTTTGGTAAATTAACACCACGAAAACCACGGCAGAAAATCTTAGTCAAGAGCAAACTGACCCCCACTAGAATATTTTTTGGAGGAAAGTTAGAGACACTATTTTAATAGATAAATGTTAACGATGTTTTACCTCACATGTTAAAAAAAAAGTTAAAGTTAGAATTTTTGAAATATTATTAATACATATTTTTTGTAATTCTTACCTGTAATTTAATGTATTTTTTTATTTTTAATATAATGTTTAATAAATTTTAATTAATAATAAATAATGTTTTAAAAATTGTGTTACTGATATTTATTGTACCATTTACAATTTTAAACAACTATATAGTAATTTTTAAAAAAAAAATTAAATTGAAACGAATAATTTTTCAAAAGAATTAAACTGAGCATTTATTCTTTAATTAAAAAAAAATATATAAGAGATGACATAAACAGGGCGATTACCTTAACTTCCTGGTAGAGTTTGTTTTCCCAAGCCAAAAGGCGTTCCAAAGTGGAGCAAAGGCTCTTTGAACCGGCCGGTCCATCCAACGAACCGGCATCGAGCCGATATTTAACGACCAATGGCGGTTTCGAGGTCCATGTCGAGCTCAGGTTGCTCAATATACTGCTTGAGTGGTACACCGTTTCTGCATTCAATCAAATTCCTCATTCTCAAACTTCTCTTTAAAATAATCAACTATCTATTTTTTCATATTCACTATTTTATGCATAATAACGATAAATATTTAGTTATATAATATAATATAATATTCATTATGACAATCCCTCTTAAATACAAATGTTACATCAAATTTTATTTTATTATATATTCTTATTTTAAACGTAAATTTATTAATTTAAATACTTAAATTATTAGTCTTTAGAGTTAAACGCAAAAATGAATGAATGTCTGAATCAAACAAAAAGCAATAAGAAAAAATGAGTCTAAATTTGTTTATATTAAAATTGGATTAAAATGAATTATTTTAAAATTTTCCCGCACTTTCTGAGTAACCAAACACCATGACAAGATGAATCGAAAGCTTACTCCTCAGTTGCTTGAAACTCCGATCAAGGTGCGCTCTACTGATCTCGAGCATCTCCGATAACTGATCTCCGGCAACCGCAGCTTTCTCAAAGTTATCTCTAACCGCTTCAATAATCTCCTTCAAATCCCTATGTCTCACCACCACCTTCTCCGCAACACCATCCTCCTCCTTCTCATCCTTCGCCGCCGGAGCATCGCAGTTATCGCCGGCGACAGATTCCGCCTTCGCCGGCGATCCTAAACCGTCGACTCCCTCCTCCTGCTCCGACGAGCTCGTGGAACTGTAGCGGTCCTCCCACTCGCTGCACCGAACCTCTTCACGGTCCGCGTGAACAGGTTCTTGTTCGCGGAAGTAATCGTATTCAGATTCGGAAGCCTCAGGTTCCATGTGGTGCCGTTGTGGTAGTTGATGCGACTCACCGTCTATAGTTTCGGTTTTGCTATTGTGTTGAGATTTCGAATGGAACAAGTTGTAGGTTGATTCAGATTCGGATTCTGACGTTTCGAAATTCGTTTCCGATTTGCGATTCTGCTGCTGCGAGCGCTGGCGGAAGTACTCGGAGCCTGGAGGAGTCGGAGGAGGATAGAAATTCTCCCAATTCCAAGCGGAAGAAGCTTGCGAAGTAGGTGTTGTTGATTGATGCGCGGTGGGGAAGAAATTCCACGATTGGCTTCTCGGCGAAGAAGCGAGGCTCGATTCGGAGAGAATGTGAGGGAGCTTCGGCGGCGGTTTACGCCGGCGCGTGGCGGCGGAGGAAGTGACGATGTGAGGGAGTATAGGGTTTGTTACGGTGGCGAAAGGAGGAGGAGGAGGAGAAGGAGGAGGATGCGACGGTTGGGGATTTTTGGCGGTGCCGGTAGATGAGTTGAGAACGACGGCGGGAGTGTCGTCGGAGATGGCGAGGGGTTCGCCAGCAGCGAAGGTGCAGAGTGCGGAGCCGGTGAGGCGGAGGGAGCGGCAGTAGTCGGAGTGCGCCGCCGCGAGATGGTGGCGCGCGTAAACGGCGTCTTTCATTAGGCGGCGACGCTCCTTGCACCGTCGCACCGTTTCCTCGTTGTCAAGCTTGGACACCGTGCAACCCATTTTTGGCGCGTATACCGTATATTATACTCGTATAGGTACGTTTTTTTCAATAGATATAATAATATTAATAAATGATATATAAAATAAATAATATAAAGATTTGTGTTTATGGGGTTTGTGAATGGGAGGAGGGTGTTTGAAGTGAATGAAGAAGTCGCTGTGAGAGTTGCAGTGCGGTGTGGCGGTGCTGTTTTCTTCTTCTTTTCCTCTTTCTTTCTTTTCTTCTTCGTGCGTGATTGTTGATGTGTCTGTTTTGTTTGTATCTAAAGGGTTTTATGGAGAATTTCAACACTCAACACTGTTTTTGTTGCCTGTGGAGGGTTTTGGAATTGGTACTCTTAAAAGTAAGGAAAATGTTAACGTAAATTGTATTATAACACAATGAAAATTTATTTATTTGTAGTCTTGATTAAGATTTTAAAATATTAGTTTTATTTGTCTGTTTAGAAAGAGAACAAATTATTGTTATTTATCTATTTATATAAAAGTTTAAGATAATATTAATCACTATTTTTTAGTAATATTATTTTTACTCATATAAAATATTTATATTATTTGAATAATTTAATAATTAATTTTTTTTATTTGTGTTTTGTCGAGCAAATAAAGGTTTTTGTTGGGAGGAGTGATTTGGATATGGTTCATGGGAATTAGGGTATGTGATTGGCAGGGTCAAGAAGAACCTAGCTAGGGCTATAAGCGTGTTGTGGCTGTGGACCATTTTATTCATTTTGTTGTGCTTTCGATGAATCGAGGGCTGTAACTTGTAAGGAAAAAGTGTACTGTTTGTATGGTTACTTTTTTCTTCCTTGTTTTAACCTTTTTGTCTCCTGCATTGGATAGATAATTTTGCGTTATTTAATTGCTGCCCTTTTGGTATCTTTGTCCAACGTCTTAAAATAATCAAATTGCTTCTTTGTTTTTTTTTTCTATAAGAATCTTTTTATGTTTTAAATTTCGTTTTATGCCGGTATATGCTTGAATTTATATTAGGATAATCATGAATTCACATTTATTTTAATACTATTTGTTATAATTTTTATGATAAATTCACGTTTAATTATATAATTCCTAAATGTTTCTAAACATAAACTTCGTTGATTCTCTTTTTACAAGTGTAATGACTTCGTTGAATTGTGTCACAAAGCATCAAATATTAAGAAATTACGTACTTTCTAATGAATTCGATGTTGCATATTCGTTGTCCAGTGTTGTTTGAAGTTGTAAGAGATTTTTTTTTTTAATCTTGATTATCCATTCAAAAGGTAATAAGAAAGAAAAATCAGTGTTGTAGTGTTTATTTTCTCCAGAAAATTCAAACCCTTTTACCTTATATATTCAAAGAAGCATTAATTTCTATTTTTTTTTGTATGTTTTCTAGATTTGTTCACAAAATAGCTACTGAGGGTACCAAAGTCCACTTAAAGAAACACCACACACACGAAAAAAAAAAAAAAAATCAAATTAAGAACTTAACTAAATTTGTAAGTATGTCATGCCTATTAAGAGATGTTTAGAGCTTGGGTCTTGTATCTCTCATCGTTGATACGTGACTTACATTTGGTGAGATTCTAGCTAATTGAAGCAGAAGCCATCCTGCATCATTCAGTAAAGTAAACCTTTACCACTTTGAGCATAAGAAAAGTACAATATGTAGGGATGAAAATAATTTTAAAATGGATAAAAATCTTTGGTATATAGCCTGGGAATGATGTAAACTTCAAAATTGTGCTATTACAATATTATTTGTAATCTTGTTTTAAAAATATATGATAATGCTATAATTTTGATAGTATTAACTCAGTTACTTCTAGTTAGAAGCCTATGTGAAAGAATCTTGAGAAATAGAAGAAAATAGCGCCATAAAATGTTTTAGCAAGCAAAATTGTATAATTTCCTCCAACTATTGATATTAATTTTTAATTAATCGTATTCTTTTGATTTTGATTTTTGTATATATTGTAATTAATTATAAGTTGTATATAAAAAACTTATAATCATACCCAATGAATCAATGAATTCAGCCCTTTATTCAAATCTCTATTCATGCTCATGTTCCCTTTTTCCTTCAATCCTAAATATCTTATTGAGTTCAATACCACTGCCAATCTTTCCATCAAGCAAAATGAATAATTTATTATTATTTATATATTCTATGTCTTTTTTTGCTTCACGATGGACACGGATCAATTCTAATTCACAAAGAAACTTAATACTTAAGCAAATTTGTTTTACTTAAGTGAAAATAGTTTTTTTCTCTCTCTCTCTACTAGCCCTGCACTTTTTCCAGTACCCCACACCCTCTTGCTCTCTCCCTCCCACAATTTTTTCTAAAGGATTTGATTTTTCCTTAAGTAAAGCAAATTTGCTTACACAAATATGAAACAGAATCGTCCAATTTTTGCATGAATTGGAGTGGATTCACATCCATTTAAAACGACTTAGATGTTCCAAATCCTGAGTACTCTTGTTGGGTATGTCAAGATCCACTCTTTTATCTTGGTCTACTTAGATCGTGTGATGTTGAAGCTTGAGTTGCGATGTTCTATGCAAAACATGTGCTCAAGCATGGCTTAATATACAACAGGCTTATTCCGATCGTTCTCATTCTCGTATAAAAAGCATGGCTTAATGATTTGGACCTTATATGAGACTAACGTGAGTTATAAATCAATGTATGGTGTTAGGTCAAATCCATAAAATATTTATCCTAAAAATAATTTTATATTTAATTTATCTAGCACATATTACGTGAGAGAGCTCCTTAATTTGAAAGAAATGACGTCTATTTTCATAAATAAAATCTCTCTAAGAGACTATGGGAGTATCTTTATGTATTTAGCTAATGTTTCCACATCCGATATAATTGCTTTCATCATATCTTTAATTATACACCCAGAAAAAAATTAGAAAAGAAAACCTTAAAATAAAGACATCGATCTTAAATCTATAATCATCAAATTAATTCACTTTCCAAATAAAATGATGAATTTAGCTATCATGAAAGTTAAAGAAATTACCATAGGACAAAAAATCAGTATATATCTCTTAAAATACAAGGTCCACTTTAGTGGCCTTAAAAGAAAAGTACATCCAATTTTAAATTACTAACTTCATATATCTCTCTGTCTGTATATATATTATATCGATATAATTCACATTTACTTACACTATTTAATAATTTAATTTTAAAATTAATTATTAAATTAAAAGTTTCAATACTTTTAAAATATATAAAAATAAGAACCATTTAATTATATTGTTATAGTTATTTTGTAATAAATTTTTTTATATATAATTAATATAATATATAATTATAATTTAACAGTTAGATTAAAAAAAATGTATTTTATATAAAGTTATTGACAAAGTAAGAGTGAGTATATTTTAAACAGGTATAATTTGATTTTTTTGTTGTAGTAGTAATAATAATAATAATTTAAAATAATAATAATATTATTATTATTATAAATTGAATAAGGCATGTAAGAGGTGCAGACTGATAAAAGCTATATACATGATTTATTATTATGTGATTATTTTATTATTAACTCTAATTAAAAGAATATATAAAATATAACAAAATTTCCCCCAAAGAGGGATCCAAGGGTATCCCTTAAAGTATTCTTTAAGGCGTAATTTAACGAACCCTTCCAACCCATACGGGGACAATTTATATCACTATCATGATTGCTTGGCACCACAAACATAACAAAGCCAGCTCCTTTTTTATTTTTGCAATTATTTATTTCTGCTAATTGGGTCACACTACTATATACCAAATGATGCCTTACTGTTCAAAGATGTTTAGCACCCACGCATGATTAATTGTTTCGATTCAGTAGGATTTTGTGGAACTTTCTGATCCCACATTAAATTCAAGAATGGTTAATATGAGGACAGAGACATTGATTTAAAGAAAATGACATTTTAAAACAAAGAAAGGAGAAAAGGACATTTTTCAAGTTTCATTTTCCATTAATTTTGTTTTGCTTTTTTTTTTTCTTCTGTTTTTTGCTTTTTCACTTTTTCCCTCATCAAATAGTAGATCATGATACCATCATCTACAATGGGTGGCCATGTTGTGGGTGCACACGTGGCCACTAAATTTAGGAATGATGATTTTGTAATCTTTGCTTATTTGACTACTTGCTTCACCCGTGGCCTATGAACGACAAAAGAGGGGTGACAAAGGGAAGCTCAAAGCACAAATTATTTCTCTTTACGATGAAAAATATGAGATCAACGTCAACACAAATTGAAGATGATATGTTACATAGATAAAATCCTAAGAAAGGAAAAAAAAGTAATTTATACTCGTAAATTTACAAGAACATTGAATATTTTTTATAGATTAATAATTTTGATTTTTTAATATTTTAGAAATTAAAAAGTATTTATATTTTTTAAATAAGCTATTAATTTTATATAAAGTTAATTGTAATAATTATTTCACGTACGAGAAAGCATAAAATACTCTTTTAGTTTACAAAATAATGTAAAAATTACTTTAAAAAGTGCAAGTAGAAAATTGATCCATATAATTTTCATTAATACGTGATCTTTGTTTTTCTTTTTCTTTTTTGTATTATTGGTGAATTAAGCATCATTCAAATTAACTCATAAATTTTTGCTCACATATTAAATCTTCACAATATTAATAATCTATGAGATCAGCAATTCTACTTTCCCGCCATATCTCTGTGACGCTTTAAATTAAGCTCCCCTTTAACCAGAAGATAAAATATGTGAACAACAAAGCATAGCAAGAGAGAAAAGTGAAGTGTTCTTAGTTGCATGCATTAAAATTCACACAATAAATGGAACCTTTTGAAGAAAAGCAAAGGTTAAAAGAAAGAGGAAGAGGTGAAAAGCAAAGAAAAATTTAAAACCCGGAATGAGTATTTACACCTATCCTCATCTTTTCTCATTACAATCTTGTTGTTCCCAAAATGGACACTTTTTTCTTCACCTTTTTGTTGTTGTTTCAAAATATTTAA